CCTTCACCTCATCCCCTCCCCCCGCTCCGTGCGCGCGCCCCGGTCTTTCACTTCGGCCTCGCGCGCCCCCAGCTCGTGTCCCTTCATTCCTTCTCCTTTTACTCTTTCTCCCCTCCCTCGCGCCCCGTTTCCCCCGCCATCCCCGCTTTCACTCACTGCCTCATGCCCGCCATGCTCCCCTCCTTTCCTCTCTACGCGCCCCCCTTTAACTCTCCACCCCCAGGGGTGCCCTCAGGGTGCGGGGGCCGCTCCCTGCTTTCAGTGTGATGTGTGGCGGCGGTTGGGACGAATGGGGGATCCTGAAGGGTAAAGGAAGCACGAGATAATTATCTTTATTTAGGTAAAGGAATTAGGAGCGCAAAACCCGACCCCTTTATTTCGTCGTCCACGGTTCCCTCGCCCTCTCTTAGGAAAAAGGAATTGTCTCAGTCTGTGTTGGATACTTATTTTCTATAGGGACTAAACCACCCCTTTCCTCAGCTAGGCTTCTGGGGCACATCGGATCTGTATCCCAGTTCAGTGCCTGAGGGTCTATGGAACCAGAACTTACCCTTCCCTAACCATTCCGGGACTTAAGAGTACTTTTTGCTTCAGTTACGCTAAGGAGCTAGCCATTCCTGTAAGTGCAGAGGTTTGGGTGCCATTCGCTGGCCCGGGACCTTTCTTTCCTCATAAAGGTATGGTAGCCTCTTTGCACTCTTTCTCAGCATTAACTTCCCTCCAAACACAAGATGTTAGCTCACTAAGCTGGAGATGGAGGCACTGTGGTGGGTAGGTAGGTGGCTAACTACCAACCTTTTCTGCCCTGTCATCTGGAGAATCAGGTAGCCTCCCAAGAACCAGTTTTCTCATTTCTGATCAATGATTATTTGAAGGCCTTTTGTGTGAAACAGAGCTGGGAGATACTTAATAAATTTTAGCAAAGCAAAAGAGCAGACTGCAACAGAGATAATTGTACTGGGCAGCAGCTGGAGTAAAAGCAGGTTTAGCAGATCTGTGTTGGAAAAGAACTGATGTTTTTGAGGTTTTGACGTTTCTCTCTAAAAATTTATTTTTTGAATAGACTGCATATATGTGATACAAAAGTAAAAGAAATGTTCCTCCAGCTGTCCAATCCCCCTTT